ATGGAGCTTTACATGTGGCTGAGAATGATAGGCTTGTATAACAGACAGGAAGGAACAAACTGTGTTATCACACATCCTGATAAAGCCATTCATGATGTCATCTAATCTGTAAAATAAAAAATTATTCAGAGAGCATAACCATCTGGTAACGTTTCCCTATACCAAATGAGTTTATCAAACATGAATAAATCAAACCTCACTATGTAAGAGTTGTGTGTATGTTGTGTTAATCCGTCTGAAAGTGTATTTGAAAGCATGTGTTTTTATGACAGACACAGAAAAAGAGAGATTACATTGAGTTTCAAAATGTGTTCTTGTTTTCATCATTTCTGATAATTGTTTGCCTCAGACGAGAGAGCAAAATCCCCCTGATAAATTCCCCATTGGTGGGTATTAATGCTGGATCATCTCCTGGAAAAGTATTGTGAGAAAGAGAGAGGGATATGTGTCAAAGCACATGTCTGGACCTGAAATTTGTCTGTGGACACATTGCCATCTAGTGGTACAAAATGGTACACTCCCTGTTAAAAAGCATTGAGTTCATCTACATTTGTATAACATGTTTTTTGCCCTTATGCCGAGAACATGACTTGAAATCAGTGCTCCATGACTCCCTCCTCATGTCTCCTCTTTGTCTATTCATAAAAAATAAACACCAGCACACTTCGTAAAAGGCGCACTTATGATCATTCAGCCTGCTAACAACCACCAAGGGACACCCTGCTGTCAGTCAACCATCACTGTCTAAACTGAAACCAAAATGTAACTGAGTGGGTGGTTTATATGTGAATAACAGCTTGTACTGGACTATCATCCTCCACCATTGCACAACGCAGCATTGTTTTGGGTCATGGTAAAACAAGGAACATATTTCATGCAGGCATCTATTTAGAAGTCCTCCATGTGAAGTAGGTTTTTCCAACCTCATATACAAGATAAATATTTTCACAGGGATAGTTAAAAATTCCCGTGAACACACCAGGAGTGATTACACTTGAAAATATGAATAGACAAAAGAGTGGCTGTATAGCAGAAGTGCTTTTTATCAGTGAGACAGCCTATTTAGAGATATTTTCCAACAGCTATGTTTTATTAGTTTCAAGAAACAAGCATCCACTCAGGGTTCACCTGAAAGGATAGCTGTGCACAGAGTCACAGGATTAAAGGCGTTACTCAAGATAATAAAAGCAACATCAATTAATTGACCAATGAAAATGTATAGATTCTTACCCAAATGATGAAGCACACTGTAAATCAATATATACCCCCTCTCCTCTGCAAGATATGCTTACAACTAATGTACCTGCTTATATATCAATACTACATAAATGTCTGATGGTGAAATGGAATAATACATTCAAATGACCAATATTTGGGATAGACTGCTAGTGAAACCGTGTCTCGCTGTAACACGTTTAATGACTCAATAAATGGAACAAAAGAGAATCAATAATCAAAATGCATTTCGAAATATATTTTTATTGTGTGTGCCTGTCTGTGTGCTATACTTCACGAACAGCAATTACGTAACTTGGCATGTGATAAAAGATGTTTCAATTAACTGAGTATTGACTTGAGGTTGGCAGACTTCAGTGTTTCCTCCCCTTCCAGGTGGATGATACTGAAGATATCTTTTGACATGATGTCATTGTTGACATCATGTTTAGCAACATCATTGTTGCTCTTAGAGATAGACCTCATGTTTTTCATTTAGCGTTGGCTGCTGGTTTGCCTGAAGCCATTTTCCTTGTATTATCACTCTGGAAATTTGATTAAATCCTAGCCCGTACAGATTCAGCAATGATAATGTCAATTGTGGTGGAATTATAGACTCACAGCTTTGGTCGCCTAGGGACTTTACTCTTTCTGTTTCATGGGGTAAACCTGTTTTTTAGCAGGTGAGATAATGCAAACATAAAAAACATATGCAAATGTTATTAGAAGTAGAAGACAGATATGTTTTAGAACTATTAATTCACTTCCGGGTCATAAAACTTCAGTTATCCATGTTGAAATATGACCTTCATCTGCACTAATCTCCTTCTCTTTTATTAGCCGGTGTTCACCACAGAAGCAGGTAGTCTCTTCTGATCCGGGTGGCCTCTCTTCAAAGATGGGAACTCCGAGCCCACCTGCACCTTCAAGGATCAAAGATACTCAAGTGTTTGATCACCATACCCCATCTTTCTCAGGAGTATGCAGGCTGAAAAAAGATACTGGTGTGTAATCTTTTGAGATTCCTTTCTTCAGATCATGTGGTAGAAACCTATACATTTCTCTAGGTCTGTAGCTTGTCCCTCGCCACACCAGCATATCCATCGTTAAAAATACAAACTAAAGCGAGGGGAAAGAGGCTGCAGTGTATCAAAGGGAGCTATTGAGCAAAGAGAAACAAAACAAAACATCACCTCTTGGTTGGGACTGCACCTGGGGACATCGATCGGCTGTTTCTTTTATGATTTTAATAGTATTTTGTGAAAAGCGGCAAATTTGGCTTGTAAATTGGGGGGTGGGGATATGACTATAAAGATAGTTCTGAGTGTGAGATCAATAGATGACTGGTAATCATATTTTGAAGAAGTGTTAAGCCACTGGTTTGCGTTCAGATATAAGTTTGAGCAATATCTTCTAAACAAATCACATGAAGTCATAAAAGAGTGGGTGCAGCATTCAGAAAAAAAGAATCTGCATTAAAATGTATGCTTTGTTCTGAACATGTTGTATTGGATAACAAACCCATTTATGTACACACAGGTCTATTTACATTGGTAAACACATGTTGTCATGGTGACTCATTGTAAATATAGGTGTGAAATATTGTAGTGACGTGAGTAAGAGATGAAATCCAGTCAGACAAACATCCCTCTCTAGAAAGCTTTATAGTCTTGGGTTCACAGCTTTTCCCAGTCAATGAAAGCATGGCGTCGGAGGGGTACGTGTCCCACAGGCTGCAGGAGACATCAGGACCGCACACAGACAGTGTGTTTCCTTCACTGCACACTATAAAAAACCCCACCACACATGGCTGTAATAAGCCAACAAATTAAGCCATTATGCTGTTTTTAAGGTACACAGACATCCGTGTTTAAATATTTTAAGAGTAGCAAGGGATCTCTCCCTCCAAGTTACATTGTGTGTCTGAGACCACCAGGGAAATGATTGGACATCTATCTTATCATGTGAAAGCTGTGAGGTGATCTGTATGATAAATAGCCCTACTTTAGCAAAACTATGAGCAGTGCTCTCATTACAGCGGCCTGTTTACTGTCACTGAGGAGGGTGTTGAGTACTCACGAATGACATGGGGTATGTGTCTGATGTTTTTTTTTTTTAAATTTCACAATCTCCATTATAGAGCCAGTGTCTGCTGTTCAGGATGTGCTAATATGGGCATTTTACAGTTTCAGTACAGAGGCATGGGTCGAACTATTTGGCTCAATGCATAATTGGCCAACAGCAAGATGGCTACTTAAGCCAAATCTAATGATGGCGTGTAAGTGTGTGTTCACTCCCACTCTGCACAGAGTTTAAGAGCAACTCCTATAAAAGTTCATTATGTTGCTGCTGTAATGGGGTTCAGGGAAGTACTCCATGAGCTGACAAAAGCAGGGGTGTCTTGTAAACCCTCGAGGGAACTTTCTAATTAAATACTCACTCTTTAACACTAATAAATAGCAAAGGATTTCAAGCTTTTCCTACATGTCATATTTTCTCCATACCTCAGGCCAGAAGTTAGTAGTCCAGCTTGAGGAATTTAGTCAGGATGATTTTAATAGTTTTCCGAGTAGATTTGTTTTTCCAAGCTACTGTTAAACTGGGAAGTGAGAGCTAAAGGGAAAGGGCTTCCCTGCGATGTTGGCAAGCTTCAGTAATGCCATATGTGAGGGTTTGATACAGGAAACCTGGCTTCTCCACATTTCTGATGAGTTGTGTCATCGGTAGATGGCAGTAGGGCAAACCCTCCTGCTTAGCAGACAGGTGTGTATCTAGCTTCCCATTGTGCATGACGTGTGAATAAGTAGATGGAGCATTATTACCGTCACAAACCTTTAACTGCCAAAAAATGAATTTATTTATGAAATGAGAGAAGGATCAATGGAAATAAACAAAATTAATAAACAAATATTTTTAGCAAACTTTTTCTTTTTTTAATGTTCCTTTTTTAATGTTCCATAGTTATAATATCACATATTATTACTGAGGTCATTATTTACCTTTTAGTACTTTGGGAAGTCAACATTTGTATTACAGGAAAAGGGCACTTTACCAAGGTAACTCAATAAGTTCAGTTCTGGAGACGCTTTCCAAAGTTTGAATAAAATAACACCGATCAGGTGAGATTTAAATTGTAAATCAGAAAGTCTGCATTACAAACTTGAGACTTCTACTACTTCTATTTCTACTTCTACTTGAGTAGGCTACTGATGAGACACATTAAGATTCTAATTCCCCCATCTAAATTGATCTACAATAAAACATTGCAGCAGTACATAACAGAATGAGATTTCCCAACTATTAGATGGATAGATACATAGATACATTGGGTTTGAACAAAATAATAAACAATACACAATTAGCAGGTGTAAGTGACACTGGAAAAAAACACCATTAAAAAAACTGCATATTTGTAATGCAAATTGATTGTGAACTTTAAAAAAAAAAAAAGGTTATGGGTTGATTTTGTTCAGATAACATTTAATTATTAATTATTAAATAATTAACAAAATGATAACTTATTTGTATGTATACTGCTGTTAAGACCATTACCTATTACAAGTCATGATTTTAGACCTTGATTTCCATTATTTCTGCTTGCAGCCCCTCTCTGATCATGCTGTGAACACAGACCGTGCTCAGTGTGCAGGACTCTGCAGCAGCTACCTGCTTTAACGCTCCTCGTGTCTGTCAGTCACCGCAGCATCATCCAATCACAGGGCGCGTGAGCCCTTGACTCCTCCCCAGTGTATAATTGAAGTTTCTTTAGTTTCTCCGGCGGAGCCTGCACGCAGTATTGTCCGATCCGTGGAGGGATTAAATACACATCTGCGGGACCATGTTTTCTAGGAGCCTGAACGTGTGTCTGACCCTATGTTTGTGGATTACAGCGTTAATGAGCCCGGGAAGTGTGTCTGCGAGGAAGCAGGACGACTCTTTCTTCACTGGCAGTATTTACCGAGCAAGATGCGCCTCGAGATGCCTCAGTCTGCACATCACTCGCATCTCCGCTTTTTTCAAGCACTCCCAGGTACGAGCATGTGGTCACAGACCCTCAAACTTCTGGTGTTGGAAATTATGAATACACGCGCTGTTGTAGCAATTATTAAATGAATTAGAATGTGCTAGATTAATCCTTCCCACATAAGTCAAACCTGTTTCTCTTGAGCATATTATAAGCAGACAGGAGCAGGTCACTAATGGTGCTGAATTACTTTCTCACTTTTTCTGCCACTGACAAGGAAATTAAACCTTTTCTGACGACAAGTGTCAGCAACCTAAAAACACCAGCACATTTACGCATTTGCATGAAGCTTTGAGTTGCTTGTAAAGTTGCCACATGCAGTGAATATTTGGCCGTGTAGAGTGGGACGCTTTGAAATATATCTCATTAGCCCCACACATTGCGGTATTTCTGGGACTGAAGGGTGATGGAAGCCTATCAGTGGAGCCAGTTTCCATTCATTAGTTGCTAATTTTTGGAAAATGAGACACCCTTTTCTGCCAGTGCAAATGGGACTTAACTCCTCTGACTCTACAGTGTTACTTACTTGGTTGCCCATCTATTTATAAGGCATCTCATATGAGGAAAACACTGCCTTTTAATTCAAGTTCAGAGTGAGCATTTTACACGAGTGTCCCTAAGAAGCATGTTGTGGTGCAGAAGAAGCTCATCCAAATTAGCTGTATTCTTTGTATGATTTAGTATGGTGTCAGAAGTTGTTTTTCACCCTCCACTGGACACACTGTTCTCTCCCTGGACTCCCTAGAGAAAAGGACTGGTCACTGATCCTTCTCCCCTTTGCTCCTTTTCACCAGCTATCTATCTGGTGACCGCCTTTATACTCTCTTCATTTGCATTTGCAAGGCTTGTATTTCTCAAGGTGCATTAATGAAACAGTAATTGTCAGGGAACACTGTGGAGCAATTTGTCATTAGGTCTAATGAATCAACAGAGTGCATTGCTTGTTTCTTTGTCACCAATTAACTTAACTTTGAAAGCAATTATTGATCTGGTGTGGTAGTTCTCAAAGCATGTCTGTGAGACAGAGAGACCTACTGCAGTTAATTCTGGCAATTTTAGTAAGGGGGCAATGGGGCATATACACCGGGGGGTGAGGGATGAATACACTTTACTGCAATTAACATCCTGGTAGGACATAAAACAACAGTGCTGTGCATCCAAAGGACACAGATTGAAAACAGTGTTTCTTAATTCACTTGGCAAGTGTGGAGGGATTTGTTTTGAAAATAATCCAAGGGTATATTGCTGCTCTGGGTTGCAAAGTTTGGGAATTAAATTAGTCACCAGCTGACAGAGAAGTCAAATAACTGGTGGAAGTCTCGCCTCTAATGAACAGCTAATAGTCTATATAATTGACTGCAGAGCCTCTGAGTCTGAGGCAGCCTTTTTTCAGTGAGGAGAAAATGAGAGGGAGGTATTTGTCTAAAGAGAGGAGCATTTTTGTGGTTAGTGATAAGCAAGGTTGCTTGAGCAAGCTTTTAGGTCTAAGAATAGAAGGCAATTGTTGATAATCTGCAAGGACTGTCTTATATGCACTGTGTTCTCAACAGTCCTTTCATGTGAAAATGGGGGGGGTCTGGTCAGCTGCAAAAACATATGGCTCTCCTCCCCCCTGCCCTCTACCCCCTGGCCCTGCCAATAAATGCCAGCATCACACCTCATAGGCATGCAGAGGATACATGGAGCTACCGATGCCGCTCCTCCGAGGTCACCTTCCTGCTAAATGCTTGCGCCCAATTGTGCTAAATGTGATAAGCTCTAATGTACCGTTGCCATAACAATGCAGCATGCTCAGTCAGCACAACCTACAGGTGGATCTTCTTCCTCGGCCAGATCTTATTACAGCACCGGGCCGACAGCTCCACTCCAGTGATTGATACGACAGACCTCTTAATTCAACTCGGACATCCTTCAGGGGTCATTTAATACTCGATAGGAAAACCAAGACAAGCAACACTTTCCATTTTAATGGAAATGAAATGCCTGGGCTGTATGTCAAAGCTGTGACTTTCGCCTACCGTTCCTTCACATTTTACTGTATCAACTCAATATGTAGTAATCTATACGGACCACTACTTATTTTGGTCAGGGTACAAGAGACAAATTGCATTCTTAACACATTTTGCGGCTGGAATTTAAAACTCTGTTTTTCATTTCAGCTTTAATATGATCATTCTGTGAATACTGGAACGATACTTGGAGAATTTAGCACTTGCAGATGTTACGAACACCCATGTGTCTTTCCTTTTTATGTGGCTGAATCGGGGGCAAATCAGAGACTTTGTTTTAATCGTTGCAATTATGAATTAGTGTGAAATGGAAACGAGCATGGAGTTGCAGAGTTAGGAAACCCACTGGTCGTCCATTGGTTGACAGATTTATAGCAACTGTAGATTTATTGATGTATGTAATAGTGTTTCCAAATGTAGATTTATTGACATTTTACTCCACATTTGGAGAACTTGTCACCCCAGTACAATAGACAGAGGGGAACACCCAACCATAAATATTAGCCTCGGACACTTTAAAACATTAAGAGCGAGTGGGGAGCCCTGTGCAATAATGTATTCTGAAAGCATCAACCTTGTAGTGGATTATTTATGTGGGGACCTGTGAAGCCAAAAACAAGGTGTGTCCAGGTCTTGTTATTACATTCAAAGCAATAAAAACGTTTTAAATTCAGTCATTCATTTATAATGTGCTGCACAGTAAGGTATTATCATATAACTTAAAGGCTGTGTGTTTAACAGTAAGCAAATGGAAGAAACAACACAAGTAAAGTAGTTTTTCCGTGTCCCCTTATTTTGGCCTTTGATATTAAATAACCTGCGGTGGAATCAAACCTCAGCCAGTGCTTGTCTCATGTGTGGAGTTTTTCATTAGCGAAGACAGCGGATGAATAGAGGTCTATGTTGCTTGGCCTCACCTCTCTGTAAACGCTTTTAAACTCTGACAGTCATGTCTGTAAATCTCAGCCTCCACCTCTGCTACACCCTGAGCTACCTCATTTGACAAATAGCCTTCATTCCTAAGTAGGGACAACTTTACACCAGTGTTGCTTCAGATTTCTGAAACTCCCTTTAATGTTAACATTGGATGTACGCTGGACACATTAGCTCACTTTCAGAGATCCTGACAAATAATTCAGTTTAAGTGAATAATTGATGAGCCGAAAGACCACAGCCCTCACACCCACTCAAGTCTGAGCCTAAATCTTGAAGCCCTTTATTTTAGTGCTGCATATGTGCCCTTAAGGATCAGTTATTTTGGTGTTGCCTGAGGACCCCTGTGCTGTCAAAGGACACAGAGACACCAGGCTGTCCTTTGAAGTCCTGTCTCCTGTTGACTTAGCCAGGAGTGTACAAGGTCTCAAAGACCGACAGTATGTTCTAGTGTCAGACATAAAGGCAAGACTACATAGAATTCAAACACAAATCGTCAGTGTAATCGGAGATCCTTTTAATTCAAATCGGAGGCTCATAGGAAACAAAAGATTTCCATTTTCAAAAGGTGGAATGCTATCCTCAAAGATAAAAGGGGTTTTTGTCCATGTTCCCCCTCAGTTGTCTAGACAATACAACACGCCCCTGGCCACCTGCCCTGTCTTCTCAGTTGACAACAGCCATAATGTATCTCTGTGATAAATCCCCTGTTTACATGACTGCACCGGTGTCACTAACAAAGCGAGGAGTTCGCCTCTGCCACACTCGTATACCCCCGTCTGGTCTCCTCTCCTCGACCCTATCACACAGGAGGATATCTGGAAAGCATTCATTTATTGGAGTCCTTGACAGTCCTCAGCACTGCTTAATGTTCAAACTGCAGAGGAATGTCATGGTGAGTCAGAGGGATGAAGTTCTGACCTATAATTATTCCCCCGTTGGTCCCTGACATGGTGGGGTCAGGCCTGGACAGCTGGGGCAACATCCTGCTGAGCTTCTCTGCTATAGGGATGCTGTCACAGAGCAAAATTAGCTCCTCTGTGGACCGGGCCCTGTCGCCGCTGATAGATGGGCAAAGAAAGGTGTCAAAAACCGGATTGGTGATTTAGAACATGGTCTGGAGTTGTGACAATCTGAATAAATTATCCAGAGGAACTGGCTGCCAGTGTAAATGTCAAGGTCTTATTTACGGCGTGTCCCCGACAGGGCTGTTTGGCCATGTTTGATTGATAATTTTATATAAATGAGAAAAGTCCACAAGGATTTTAATCATGTATTTTCATTTTTTCATTATTTGTGTGTTCTATTAATCAGAAAAAGGAAGGAAAAATGTGCTGAGCACTCCTCAGCCAAGTTGACGCTCATTACTGCTTCATTTTGTATCCAAATTAAAACACAATTATTGGTCTCCTTAGCGCTCAGACTCATCAATTTTTCATCGTTATCTGCAGTTTTTTGTTGTTGAAGATATTCTCCCAAGACATGACCAAACAATCACAGATGCCTTTGAAGCCATTTGACCATTATCCTTGACACTAAAAGCAGAGCACTTACTGGTACTGGATGTCAAATTAAACCCTTTAATGATAAGTTCTCTCCTAAGGTCTCATGGGAAATTTCTTTTGGATTACATTGTGGGAAAAAGGCTTTGAACTTGACATTGAACTTAAACAGACTTTTTGCCTGCAGACCCTGAAAGTTTGGCTGTATCTGCCTGCCGCATTGCTTTCACACAGACGCGCAGGGAACAGCCAAAAGTGAAGCTCAGATTCAGGTCATCGACTACAATGGATTTAATTAAAGAAACTGCATTAGATTTTTATCATTTATTCCCAGGTGTAGAAAACAGATGATCTTAAATCTTATTTCAGTGTTTTTATAAAGTTGTTCCAAGTGTCACATATTTCTGATACACGTCACGTTCAAACACTTTGTCTCTTTCATGTTGACTTACTGGTCATTTATTCCGAAGCACTAGCCTTGCACTTGCCATCAAAGCTCAATTATGTTTGCAGAGGATGACAGCATAATTCCTCCCCCTAATGGCATTCAGGAAATGACCACTTGCACAAGCCATTTACCCCCACTGGTCCTTCGCTTGACAACTCCCCATATTTACACGTGGAGGATTTATAAATACGCTGCACTATTAGGACCAAATGTTTGCCTTGCTGAAGCGCAGAAGTTGGCACTTCCACGGCAATTAGAGGAAATTGGCAGTATCTGCAGTCTGCACAGGAGTGCTGACATCAGTTCTCGCCTCAGTGACCTTGGGTACGTATGTTGAGAGATCAAACAGAGTGTCAGAAGATCTGAGGTCACCGTGCTCTGCTGAAACTGGCCAGAGGTTTGCCCTGGCCCTGGTGACTGACCCCACTTCCCTGGCACTCTGTATGCAAAGCTGAGTCCTTGAAATGTGTCTAGCTTTAATGTGTTACTCAAAAAGGCCTTGACTTAAGGAAAGTGGTTTGAAGATATACTGCGATAGGAGAGTTACATCTGATGATTTGATCATTGTGGGTGTATTCCTCTGATGACTGATGACATTTTCTTTCTCTTTCACAGAATAACGGATCCTTGGTTTGGTGCCAGAATCACAAGCAGTGCTCCAAGGTACTGTGGTTTCCCTTCTTTCATGAATGAAACACATGCCAAGTACATGGCTATTTATCAGAGGGTAATGCCACATAAAGTGTGCGAGTCACGACATGACTAGTTTTGTCATGCCTGCAGGTATCAATCCGAGAGCTGTTGACATAGACTGCGATGAGAAAAAGGATTTTCTTTTCATCTAGTCCTTAATTCTGCTTTCACTGAAACTCATTTGCTATTGTAAACGGGAGACAATTAAATACAATTTAAATAAGATTTGGTAAGCTTAAACGGGTGTTGATTTATGAAAGCAAACCGTGATTGTTATTCCTTCTCGTCTCATTTGGAATTTCAGAAGGATGCTTTACACCGCACCTCCCGCAGGGCTTGTTTGTGTTTCGTGCCCTGTCCCAAAGAAGGTTGATACAAAGCTGGTGTTGACAGCTCCTCTGAAAAGATGGCGCTGACATATTCTATCAGACTCTCCCTGCGCTGTTGACAAGGCCCTCAGAGATGTGCCGTATAGACTGTAGTCAGAGAACACTATGGAGCTGAAATAAGGAGGATGATATGCTAGCAAAGGAGAAATGTGAACAATGCTCTGTGTAGCTGTCAGAGGCTCTCATCTCCTCACACACAGACCGTGAAACCAGGATTCATTGCGGTTTGCCCGTGAGGACTTAAAGTGAGATAGACAACACGTATACATAGCTTAGATAGAATACAGGAAGCATGTTATTGTGGGGGTGATGACATTTTAGATGTACTGCTTGTATGAATTTATAGTTTTCTCTCAAAAGTCCACCAAACGTGTACTAATAAAGAAATGCATGTTAAGAATTTGGGGCCAATCACATTATAACAGTGATGGTGATTAATTGGAAATTCAGGAAAAAGCTGACTTTATTCTCATGCTTATTTAACACGGTCTTGCATTTGGTGTACATATAAATCACAATCAGTGTCTAGTATCAGTTGCCTCACAAAATGACCCTTTGTGTTTGATTTTTAAATTTCTCTTTTGAATTTCAAATGGTTTCCTTGGCAATTTGCATTTGCCTGGGATACAGCAGTGCTATTGTTCCTTGTGCTTCCTACTACATCAGCAAGTGTATAGTGACTTCTCTTAACCAACTTCTCTTACCAACATTATCATATCACTCACTGTGTCCTAATCTGCGTGTAAATTGTAAGCTGTTGTTATATTGTGTTTCTTTTAATGATTACGTTTGACTATTGGGCTCAATGAGGGGATTTAAGCAACTTGAGGCAAAGCACAATCAACTTAAAGATAACGAGTGATAATAATTGGTCCTTTAATTGTATCCTTAACCTTCTGTGACAATTCAAAAATGAATGTAAAGGCATTTGAAAAGTCAAGCCTCTTTTGTTTTCACTAATACTGTGAAACTTGTTTCTTTCCTTTCCACTGTGATGGCCAACATTGGCTCTTGGCTCTAGTCATTCCCCAGTCGTTCGGGGTTTTATGTTTGAAGAAGGCTTTTGCTGGCTGTGAGTCCAAACACAGCATACTGTTTTCATAATCAACCAGCTTACATTGCTCAGACTCTGCAAATGTCCCAAAAACTCTTTAATGGACTTCTTGTTCTGCTTGCTCGAACAAGCATGTCAGTTAGCACTCCTTCATCCTACTGGTAGGCCGTAAATAAATGAGGCTCGATTGGATGTAAGCACTAAAAAATAATGACATGCTTGTGTTACTGCTATATAAATGTGGTGCTCGGCCACTCTTGAGATCGTTTCAAGGGCTCTCTGAATTTAATTAGTTTAATTGTACCCTAGCTTTAAGTTCAGCCATTCAACATGCAGGCCACGGCATGGTGCTGAAGTTTAATTTGCGGCCAGAAGTCAATATTGTGGAAGCAAACACCACCACACTTCACATCCACATCAATGGCTCGAGTGCACATTCAGGGTCTGTGTGTAGTGTGTCAAAACACTGAGCCATTGTCGCCACTTTAACAATTGTAGCAAATGGGCCCATGCTGTACAGTGGTTCCCTGTGAATAGCTCTACAGCCGCTGATTAGCCTCTTCACTTCATGAACAGCACACAGTCAAACAGAGAGACAAAGGCAGTGGCTCCCGGGGAGTGCGTTAGGGCAGAAGGCCTGTCCACCCAGAGCTCTGTTAAAGACCCTCACAGAGCTCCCCGCCTGTGAGGAAAATGCGGGGAAGGACTGCCTAATAATTCAGACAAAGATGCGATGACCTCGTCCATCTGCGTTTTAGGAAATCAAAGCCCCCCGCTTCCATTTGTGTAGACAAAGTCATCCCGGTCATCTCCTATGCAGTGTCCAGAGCCGGCCCCGCTCTCAGTGTCCCCATTGTCATGGTAATTAACCTGCATGCCCTCTCTCCAGAGCAAAGCGAAGTGGCATTTGGAGAGCCGGGGAGTCATTATCATGCCATAACACTGGAGAACAGACAGCAGGCATTTTCTGTGGGCTATTGTCATTTTGTCTGCCTACTGTTAGAGCTTCCCCACTAGAGAAGTTTGGACGTGTTCCCTGAAAGTTTTCAAAACTCCAGGGTGTTCTCTTTTTTTCTGCTGGTGCAAAGAAAATAGGTTTTGTGCGTGTGCATGGGAGAGTGTGCGGATGCGGCCAAGAAGCTTTCCACATTCAGAGCATGTCTGATGTTAGCAGGGTTTTTGCTTTTCCCCCATGGGTGTGATCCAGGCTCCAAATCAAATGCTAGGATTGACTTAAGGCAGCTAAAGGCCGGGCTACAACAAAGCGGTGCGCTTCATTACTCAAACTTCTCTCAGGGAAGGAAGACAGAAAGGACATGTGCATTATGCTCGGATAAGTTGGCCTTTGCTGAGCAATTGGAACGTGGCCACCAGTTATAATTCCTGAGGAAGAAAAGTGTCATATTTTTCTTGTAAACACACACGAACATCCTGAACCATTTTTTTTAAATCAGTTTTATTTTTCATCCTTTGAGACTGATCTCTCAATGAGTTATATAGAGTGGGGATTGCTGAGCAGAAGAGAATTAAAACACTGAACTGTGATAAAACATATTTTAGCACGGAGATGTTTACTTTGCCTTATATTTCTCTAAACCTGCCACATCCCTGCTCTTTATTTAAAAAGACTTTCGACAGGGAAAAGCTTTAGAAAGCATCATTGTCTGTCCTGCACGTCTTTCATAGACGTTTCACATTTCCCAGGTGGCTCTTTTGAGCGCTTTTTCCCCACAATCACACCCTGAGCTGTGCATACCAGAGCAAGAATAAGAAGTGTTTACTCTTTTGGAATACATGCACCCTCGTCTTCACATGTCGGAAGCTTTGGAGCCGTTTGCTTGAATAACAATCACTGGAATGCTACTATGTCTCATTCAAAAGTGTCTTTCTTGTCAAACCCCCGTCTCCCAAACCCCACATTTTCTCACGCCAAAATAAAGTGGTCAAACTTCCCATCAGTTGTTCTTTTTTCAGGGTCAGATGAACATATATAAAGAACTCAGAAGCGCCGCCTCATTCTTAAGTTTATATGAATCTTCATTAAAAACACAAACAACAGCGCATACTTTGTAGAACGGTCACTCTCACTTGAAGCTTTGCAAGTGTGTCAATGCGATTTACTAGTCTTTTGTGTGGTCATCTTTTCTTCGGCGGTAGGTAGTGTGTTTTTGAAAAGATGTAATAAATTAGGTGCTGGTTTGTAGGTTTACAGCTAGGCATGGCTGGAGTTGTTAGGTGCTTAGAAAGACTTCAAAGCACCTTTTGGTCGTGCTGAGGCCAGACGTTGGTCTCACCTCCTTGTGTTAGCCACATTACCAGCACCAACACCTCAAAGCAAGCTGGACCAGAAATCAATCTGTCAAGAGGGCAGTGTGTCTGGATGCCTGTCAGAGGAACTGCTAAGCAGAGGGAGGAATTTAAGAAACAGTCTATGCCAGTTTGACTTAATAGATGTTATAATTGCATATATATGTGAAAGATTTCTGCTGTGGAAATCCTGCTGTCGCTGTACTTTCTCTGAGGCCTTTTTTTGTTATGTTTTATCTCGTTTGAGGCAGTGTGAGTGTTAGTGTGTGTGGGTGGCGGAGGAGTGTGAAGCAGGGCTGGTCAGTCCCAGCAGGAAGGACCTGATCTGGACATGGTTGTTAAGTTTCATTGGCTAAAGGGGGGGTCGCTTCATTGGCTGCTATCTGTGGAGCTCATTATTCACATGGTGGGTGGCAGAGAATGAACCCCCACAGCAGAAAACCAAAGACGTGGCCACAGGAGAGGAGGCGAGGAGGCGAGGAGGCAGAGGTACTGCAGTTTGTATTTCCCCAGCAGTGAAAGCTCACATCTAAAGCCGCTCTCTGCTACACTGCCTGTTCAACATCTGAGTGATGAGCACTCCAGGAAATCCTCCATGAAGAATTACACTCGCTGTCTCATACCAACCTGTGTTTTTATTGATCCCGCAGAGCCTTTTCAAATAGTAGCCATTTATTTTCTGAGTTAATCAACCTCTCACAGATTTCTCCCTGTCAGACGGGATTTCATTCCCTTGAAGGATTAATGTAATCAAAGCTGCTGTGAAATCCTCTTTTTAAAAGTAATGACCAGTCACACTGTGACAATCTGCTGTCATCTAAGTGTTTTTTCTCTTACTGAGGATGTATTGGCTAAATATCGTAGATTACAATATAACTTTCATGTTGACTTCGCTGTCATTTAACTCCAAAGATCACATGTTTAGAGGTGCTACAGCAAGAAATTATCCGCAGCTATATTTCTGGTCTCTGTTAATATATCGTTACAGAACTAATCATGGCAATGGTCACATTGACGGAGAGAAGATTAAAATGTAAGAATCTTAAAGCTGATGTACTTAGTGGATGGGGGCTTATCAATTTATTCCAGCTCCAGTCAGATCTGCTGCGTCCTGCTGATAAATCCCATAGATTGTTTGTGACAGTTTCAGGACGATTAAAAACAAGAATGTGTGTCAAGAGATGCTGATCGACAGCTCTCTTTACCTTTACCCTGGACAC